TACTTATACAAATACTATTCTATTAGATATTAGCTTAACTAAAATCGCAGAGCTACTTAGGACGACTATTCATGATTGTAATATTTTTTCCATCTAAAGTCTTGATGATGTGTAAAGACGATTGGATTTCTGTTTTATGTGGTTGCCATTCATTTAAATTTGTTACTGTCTGATGCTATTTTTCACAATTATCATATCTTAATCCAAACAAATGGCTTTGCCAGATGTGACCTTATCTTCGCTGGTATTCAATGATATAATTTATTGTATGCTATATAAAAATAGAGTTACTTCTGATTTGAATCTAGATATCTTATATAACATTTGAACATTTCTCCTCCCATCCCTCCTAACGCATTCCCATTCCGATCCATATACAGACGTATCGGTCCCCGCAGCTGTGTCTGGGCAGAGCCCTCCGTGGTAGATAAGGCTGCCTCTGAGTTTCGTGATACGGATACTATGCTCTCTACGGCGGAAAGTATTTGCGGTCCTTATCTTTGGAAGGTATACGATCTTCTTGTTTTACCTCCCAGTTTTCCTTACGGTGGAATGGAGAATCCTTGCCTCACATTTGTTACACCGACTATTATTGTGAGTTATACAGAGACTATCGGTTTTCAGTGACTATGATGCAACTATTATTAATGCATATAATCATAAACCACATTTGACACTAATTTGGGCTCTTAGCTCTCATAACAAATGTAATTAATTGTCTATTATCTTCTTTCGTATCCTATTGCTCAGATGTTTCCATTGATTAGCTTTCTTTTAGTTTATACATTTCCAAACATGTCAGACCAGCACCACATATTACGTATAGGATATGATTCACCTCGACCTATGGCCTAACTTTTTGGGTTATGACTAACAGCAAAGGCAATAAAAGACTGGTAGGCTTGTTTATGGCTTTCAAGGAACTTGGATAGAAAGACGCCTTATGGGACTGGTGGTAAGATAAGATTAGGAGCAAAGAATCTTTATGTAGCTGAGGATGCACAAGATTTGAAGCTGCCATCCCATACGTAGTCAATGCCTCTTAGTTGGATAAGTCTATGCACGATTTGTATGCTTTCCGTGAATTTGCACTTAAATGTCTAATGGATTTTGGTGTAAATGATAGGCATTTGATGAAATTACTGAACTCGTTGTTTTTTTTTCTTATTGTAATCTTAGTTTACTTTGCACTTGATAACTATATTGATAAATTATTGTATCAACCCTTCATGTATTTACAACATTTATCTAAACAATCTGATATTTAGGATGATCTCAAGTCAAATCTAATTTTCGACTTGGGCCTACTTAGATTATTATCTGTACTTAGGTTGGACTTGGCAAACACGTAGGTAATCTGGATCACTCTTGATTAGAATGTAAAGTTTATAACTTAAACAAATTGTGTGCCAATCCACAAACGTTGTGGTTCAATATTGAACCTAATCAAAGCCAGCAATACCACAAAATTTGTGGGTTGGCATACAAGCAACTAGGGCATGGTCAACATTCCTAGCACAAGGGTTAAGTTGGTGATAACGACAGTGTGGAGTGTGAAGAGCATAAATGAGGCTCGAAGAAGCACACAACACTAAATTAAAAATTGTGACAGGCAAGGCATGCTAGGAGGATATATAAAATTTGTATATCCCAGGGCAGAAGGGGAGCTACAACAACTGTTTACCACACGTTTGGTCAAAGGACGTACTTCACTTGTCTCTTTGACGAGTTGTAATATGGTGCTACGAATGGCGAGACTCACGTCCACAGTCCTACTCTGCAAATGATGATGCATACAATGGACTCCGGAATAGGCGCGTTCCTCTAAGTCTTCCTACCAATATGACCAAGTTGCGAAAACAAGGTCAAATAACTTTTATATAACGAAAGGAGACTGCCACCACACAAAAGGCCGCACCATCTTGATCTTCATACCGTCGATTAAACAAATTGATATTTTAATACGATTAACAAGAATAAGGGTACATTTGGCAAATCAGTTCATAGGTGACTTAGCATTCTCAACTATTTGGGAAAGAATGAAAAATTTTCAGTAAATCTTCCTCTTTCTTAACTTAATATATTTTTACAAACATTTTAATAGGCTTCTTACTAGGTAGCATTAACATAGTCAAGAAGATCCTCTCATCATGATTTTGTGGGATAACTAGAGGAATACTTTTTTGTATTATCCTAATAATCGTCTTTTTATAAATGACTGCTTAGTCCATT